TAGTAAGATAAAGAGAAAACCAAATGCCTAAAGGACTATTATAACCTTAGTCTATCGTAAAGATACCGAGTGGGTTAATATATTGCTAGATATACTTAAGGCACTTTATGAATGCAAACTAGCTAGATTGGTCTAAATTATTAGATGTTGCTCAATTCTCCTATAATTTACAGAGTAATGAGCCTACTAGTAGGAGTCCATTTGAGATAGTTAGGCATAACAACATCTCACTCTAGATATGGTGTTGTTTGGTAACAAATACCAAGGGAGTAGCCCTATTGCATATTCACTAGCCAATGGATGGCAAAAACAAGTAGACTCGACACATATATACTCGAATAAGACTGCTAAGAAAATAAAACAATGGACTAATGTGAATTTCCAACCTAGAGACAAAGTAATGGTAAAATTGCTACCACGAGTAACACAAGGCTTTTTAAAAAAAGCATAAAGGCCTCATATGTTACTATGAAGGAATGTTCAAGGTTGTTGAAGCCAAAGCCAAAGATCCATCTAGTATTCTATATGTGTATCTTGAAGCCATACCATGCAAATGAGAAGGATCCAAGTTGAGGATTTTCCCATAATGTGCCTATAATAGTGGTTGAATCATATGAAAAAAAGGTTAATGTCATACTTGATGACTAAACATTTTGATGCCACAGAGTTCCACCAAGAAAGAAGTACTATATAAAATAGAAAGGATTATCAAAAAGCAATGCTAGTTGGAAACCCGCAAAAGCCTTATGTTAGTTTATGCAAAACATCAAAGAGTACCAAGAATGCATGATGAGGACATCATTAGAATAGATGGGGTAAAATGTTACGTCCTATAAGAAAAAAATGCTTAGAGGTTAAAAGAGAATGTTAAATAACCCTAGAAGTCTCTAGAAGTCTTTAAAGCATAGGAGAAGCCTACAAACTATCTACGAAAAAATAATTATGTCCTAAATAATTCTTGAGAGTCCCTCATTGTTTTAGTATGTATATATCTAGAATGTTTAATATAAATATCTAGATAGAAGAATTTTTGATAATTTATTATAGTCATTAAATCAAATTAATCCTAACCATTCATTTAGGATGAGGAGTTCTATAAATAGTTGGGCCCTTCATTTAAGCCAAGCCATCTAAGAAAATTGTAATCTAGATTTGTAAGCATTTGAGAGTGATATAAATAGATTTTTTTTTATAATATCTCTCTTACGTGTCTTTTTTTGCTTCATAACTTAGTATAAGGAAAAAGCTGATTTGGTTTGGTTTATGAGAAAAGTGAGCCAAGTGCCATACAATGAGTTTGGATAAAGGCCATATTTGTGACATACTGCTTGCAAAACTAAAAATTCAATGGTAACATTTGAAAGAAAGATATGTATTGGTTTAAATAAAAAATTAAGTGTATTTAATGTGACCTTGAAGATAAGAATAGCTAAATCTTAGTTTAAATGTAGTTTTACAAACTTTGACAAATCATACTAGAAATAAAATGGCTAACAACTACCAAAAGAGGCTATAATGCAAACAAAACCTTAACTTTTAAAATAAAACAAACTATTGACTAGTGACTAGGAGAGCATGAGTTCCATCCATCCATAAAGAAGCATTACATGTTATGAAAATGTTTTAAAAGATCTACTAAAGGACCTAAAAAGGAAACCAGTCTTTTTCATATAATAAAATAAATCCTATTTTAGCTTGTAGAGTTGCAGATTCTTATTGGAGTTACAAAACCCTTTCAAACAAGATCATGGACCTATCTTTAAGGTCTTTTGTTTCCTTATTCACTTGAAGGTTTGGAGTAGAAAGAGAGTCAATGGGATACATCATCTCTATAAGAGAAAAATGAGGTGTAGAGTTGGAACTTTGTTAATCTTAAGTGAACTTGCAACTCGTATGAGTGAACTTTATAGAGGATGTAGTAAATTTTGGAATGGCTCAACAACATTTTATAAGAGCTCATAATTTAAGAAGTCTTAAAATATATTAATACGATCCATATAGTGAACGTCTAAAATAGTACATTTCAAAAAGGTTTTTAGATTAGATAGTGAAGAATGTGCATTTTCCGCAAAAAAGAAAAGAAAAAAGAGAGAGATAAGGAGAAATTTAGAGAAGAATAGAGTTTATGATCGAAAAAGAGAATGCATAGTGATGAGATATCTCTTAATAGGTTCATTTATATAGGTTTGTAACAAGTAAGTTCGTAGAGGATGAAAGACATGTTTGCATTATATAAATTAGAGATACATGTCATACTATAAAAGTTGAAAGTTAATCATTAAGTGCAATATTTATATCTTTCCGCACGTGGGAAGGACTTTCAAACATGAAAACAAAAGGGTTAGATGTTATCCCCAAATTTCATAATATGCTCAAAAGTCTAGTAATGTGATTTCACATAAAAGACTTGTCAAATAATTTGTTGGGTAATTTGTTTGGAAAAAAAAACTTACTAATCAAGGACTCTTTAATTAAGCAAACTAGTTAAAAAAGATAAGCATGAGAGGTTACTTCCCGAACAATCGAAAAGGAAGTGGAACATGGTAGTAATGGTTATAAAAGTACTATCTTAAAGTTTCAATATGCTTGAGACGTTTTAGGCTACAACTTATAGGCGGTAATCAAGTAGGCAATAATTCATAAAAAGTAATCAAGTAGACCGACAATTTATAGGCTCATAACTCGATTCTTGATCCTCATCTTGTTTTCACATGTGTGATTGTGATCTTTAATTTTTGCAAGATTGTTATGTATGGAGTGTCAATTTATAAATATTTATTTTTCTTAATGAATGAAAGTTCTTCTTTTAAGATTGCTTATTGTTAGGATTGCTAACTTGTGTTTTGATTCATTTTTTGTTAACAACTTCAAATATATAGTTCCTCGGTTATTGTGAAGACTCCAACCTTACTTTTCTATTACATAAGTTGTTTAATATTTTAGGTTTTAGTTTGAATGATTATTTTGATTGAAAATTAGCTTAAAAGTTCAAATTATAAGTTTAGAAAAACTCCTTTTGTGAATAATTATACTTACAATTTGCAATCCAACCAGTTTGGGCAAACTATTTATCTCTTTCAAGAATTCATAGATCGATTGCAATTCATTTAAATTGACTTTCATTAAAAAAAAAATGCCAAAAACATCATTAGAATAAGAAGTAGCACATTTAAAATAGTTAATTAAATTTGTTCACTTTCCGAGCATGGAAGTTAAACTACCTTCTAGACTATTATCCAATCATCTTTTTATTTTTTGTTACAAAGTCTTTTTAATTGAGACAAAAAAAAAAAAAACATGTAATATATATAGTATTTAAAAAAAAAACAATTCAAATAGGTAATATAGGGTTCTGGTAGATTGATAAAATTTTTCATCCAATCCGAAGATCCAATCTAAATGAATAGATGATAAGAACATTATGAATATTATGAATCAAATATGGTTGCACAAAAACTAACCCCTCTACCATGACCTTTTATTTCCAATTTTGTTGAGTCTAATAAAGCAAGCTTCTCTTTCATGGTGGACGTGAAAATTTCTTATTGCATTGCCTAAATAGAAGTTTAGTACAATTAAGATATTAAATGTTGAAAGAAATTTCCTTAGTTGTTATATAGTGAGGTATCTTTGGGTTAGTTTTCTCATCAATAGAGATCAAATTAATCTTTTTTTGAGATAAATTAGCGACATATCACATTTAGTTTTGATTGATTCTAAGAGTTAGATTTTTTAAACCCATCAGCAGCCAATGTCTAGTGCCATACAAAGGTGAAAATCAAACTTTAAACTTGATGAGTTAGAAACACTCTTCTTACTACTCTACGTGCAACTTCCAATAGTTATTATACCATAATATTACCAACTAAAATGGTTTTTTTTTTCAATACAATAAATGAGTGTACAATAGGCTAAGTTCATACATGGAAAACAAAATTGTGTCAAAGCCTTTCACATTTCTATATGTACAAAACTTGATTCAAAAAAAGAAAAATTGAAACTTTCAGTTCAAATGTAATATTTCTCTATTTTCAGTTTCCAAATATATACTGAATTTTGAAAACCGTTTTTCTATACAAGTTTTTCATTGCTTTCTAAATGAAATAAAAATAAAATGATGAACAATACAATATTTTTCTTATGTATCAAGCACTTTTATCAATATAAAATCTTAAAAGTTATTTTCTTTTACATTTTCAAATGCAATATTAATTTGCTTAGTGTAGTAAATTTATTTATTTTATTATACATATAATATAAAGTATTTCTCTCTTTCTAATGATAATTTCTAATTTGAATGGTATAAAAGTAGTATTATAAAGTTAGAATATCACCAAAAAAAATTAACAATATTGTTATAAATTATGATTTTCATTTTCGTGAAAAATAGTTGTAATCTAAAATACTTATGTCGGCGTCGAAGTATAGAATATCTGTCTACATAATATCAAATGAATGTAAATACATTACCTTAATCGAATGTAAATATATTACCTTATTGAAGGACCAGTAACAAAACTCACTCTTATGATCATCGCAGGATAAATGATTCTTTTCCTGCAACTAAACAAAGAGTTTTTTTTTTTTTTTTATACTTGAGGTTTTGTAACTCCCTATTTACCATTTTACACTTGTCCCTATTTAGAAACTTGTTGACTAACAAATAATGAGTTGTCCAAGATTTATCTTACTATGTTATACTATTTTTTTTGCCAACAAATGTCTATACTAATCTTTCGTTATTTGGCCGAACATAAAAGATAGGTGTAACTATCTAAAATGTTTTTTATGTATACAAAAATTTGAATCTAATACTACTTACTTAAGCGATTAAAACCCCTTCCACCAAGCTAACCCTATCGGATACTATATTGTACTATTTAAGCATATGTGCCTCAATCTCTCATGCTTGTATTATCTCTTGTGCTTTAATTCATTAGCAAATTCTGCACTTATTTTGCAGGGGATTACTCTATTTTCTCTTCTTTGCATTCTTAAAAATGGGTCGCAGGAAGGTAAAGCATGAATTGATTTCCAATGAATCTGTTAGGAAGGTGACCTTCAGAAAGAGGAAGGCTGGCCTGCTGAAGAAGCTCGATGAGCTCACAACTCTATGTGGGGTTATTGCCTGCGCTATTATTTTCAGTGCCTATGATGATCAACCGGAGATCTGGCCTTCCCATGCAGAAGCATTGTATGTGTTTGAAGAGTTGAAGAAATTACCAACAAGGAAGCCAGGAAAATACATGTTGGACCAAGAAGTTTTTCTGGACACAAACATATCCAAGTTGAATCTCCAGTTAGAGAAACAAAAGAGGAAAAATCTAAGGCTTGAGTTGGAGTTAACGTTGGCAAAGTCAAAAAGCATGGAAGGTATGGATTTACGTTATTTAAATCATATAAAAAATCTGACTGAATCAATTCAATATTTGGACGAAATGATTGCATTTGTCACCACCAAGATCGAGCATGCTGAGAATGAGAATAAAGATCAAGTCTTGGTAGTTTTGGAGAATGGATTGATTCAACAAGAATAAACCATTCGCGCATGAAGGCTTTTTTAGAATCTTATTTTGCTTAAGAGAACCCTAAACAATTCATTTGCTCCTCTTATGTTTTCCCCTTTCTGTTGAACCATGTTGCCCTTTCAACTCATCTGAATAAATATATCTTTAATTTTAATATATATAGAGAGTTGTGCATAATTTTTGGTAGTTTTTGATTTTTTGATTTCTGTTTCATATCGGTTAAATCATTAGATTTGAATTGAATAACCAAAATATTATATTAATAAAATGAATCTAATGGATTAACCAGTACTGGCATTTAACCAACCAAAAAATTGTAATAACCCCTTAAATAATATGACTAAATAACAACAACGACAACAACAAATGACAAAAACTCTAGTTAGATTGTGGGAGAAAAATCCTATTTTGATTGAACGGCTTCTCTATGATAACTTCTTGGAAAAAGGTCGGATTACATCAAGAAATTTTAATCACAAATGCATCGCAAATATGCCAGTTTTTTTCCAACTCAAATCTTGTGATGTTGCGATAATCTAATAATTTTAAACCAGTGAAAAAAGGCCACATAGTGATACTGCAGGTGACCAATAATTTTAAATCTGTAAGAAACTACCACGTCTACGTGCACAACACGATAGTTTTGCCTGTCCTATTTATTATTTACATGGCAATTAAAGCAATTATCTCATTTACAGTAAGATATGATGCAAAAAATTGTTGTTACGGAAGTTCCTAAATGGAGAGATTGTGACACTCCTATCTTCTAAAAGATATATTATGATTGTTTGACCTAAATGATGTGTGTCCAATACATTAAATTTAATTTACTTACTATTTTTACTAATATTTATAGTGCTGACGAGTTCAGGTTGAATCTTAAAAAAATGATAAAATGAGAAATTTTATAATACTTAAGGAGTAATTAATTGAAATTACTCCATAGAGAGATGGACACAAAAAAAAGAGAGAAATAAGAGAGAGAAAATTTAAAAAAAAAAAAAACTGAACCAAAGTGAAAATCTTCTTATCACTTTTGGTGAGTCCGGATGTTATTTGTTTTTTAAAGTATTTATCTCTCTCTTTAAAAATAGGCTCATGGAATAATTATTATACATGTATATTAGTTACTCCTTGAGTATTATAAAATTTCTCCTATTAAAATGATTTTGTTATTTTTGAAAGAAGTGAAGGTTTGTTTCCTTAGCCGATTATAAAGAAAGTAAGAATAAAATATGAAAATTTTCAATTTAGGAAAAACTTCAATTTAAGAAAATATTCAAACATTCAATTTGTAAATTAATCATTGGCACCTAAATTACTATTTTTTATTATTATTATTATCAAATACTTAGTCTAGATTTATCTAGGAGCTAGAATAAATTCAAATATTCCATATATTCATTAACTCAAAACATAGCATCCGAATTAAATTCATATTATCAATTGATTTTGGTGTTGAAGCTATCATAATCAAATCAACAATAGCATTTTGAATTAGAAAAATAACTAAGATGGAACGATAATTTTAAGATGCCTAAATCATTTAATTCATCCTTTTATTTTCCTTAGATGGTCACAAAAACTGATATTATAATCATGAAATTAAACCTACTTTGCTACTTGTATTAATTTTTTCTTAACAATTACGGATTAAGAGAGTTAGTTAGTTATAAATCATAATAGAAAATTAACTAATGAGCTCCTTAGACAATTACATATGCAATTATAATTAATTTAATTCAAAAATCAATTAATTACATTCACAAAAATAAAAGATACTCAAATCATAAAGAATAACTTAAAGATAAAACTCGTATCTTACAATCTTTTGCAAATTGAAGTTGAAATTTCTTAAACTAAAATAAGAAAATTAGCTAGAAATTGTTTGAAGTATAAAAATCTAAATTATATAAAAGCAAGCATGAGTCTAATGTGAAATCCTAGAGGTTATTTATACACATTAACGGATAAAATATGACATCTAACAAATCCTATTTAAGCTTTTCTTCAAAATTAATTAGGACTTGATGCTGATAGGACTTCGGGTTTTATTTAAAAAATCTCAAATTTATTTAGGGTTAGGAGGTGGTAGAATATGGACTTAGACTTTTAATAAAAGTTGTAGGCTTGGACGTTTTTTCTATAAAATTTTGAATCATCTTAATCCAATATGTATATCTCTAGATATAGTCCAAACACCGGTCGGTAGTTCGAATTACCATGGGATCCAAATTGTGTTTTTAAACCCAATCTGAAAAGCCTAAGATGTTCACTTCAAACTTCAAGAAAAACTCTTTTACATTCTAAAGCTATATGAATATTTCCTCCGAGGTTGTGTTTGTTTGGGAGAAAACAAGTTTCGGGAACTTATTTTTCCTATTTTCCACGGTTTGTTTTGCATTTAGAAAAAAAAATCAATGGAAAATGATTTTCAATCTACAAAAAATGATTAAGTATTTTTGGAAAAATGTTTTCCTCATTTTCCTAGTTTCAAAATAGGAAAATATTTTCCTACTCACGAGCTATCTCGCTCCCGCGTTATCGACCTCTCTCTCCATATATTTTAACAATTTTTTCTTCTATCTTCTTTTTATTTAAAATATATTAGATTAATTTTTAATTATTTCTTATCAATTATTATTAATTATTTAATTATTTTTTTTATTTTTACTAATATTTTATTTTTTGATTTATAGATACATTAAATATTCTTAAAAACCATTTTTACACCTTAAAATTATTTTTATAATAAATATTTCAATAATTTATCTCTTTTTTTTTTTTACTATTATCTCAAACACCATCTAAACTATACTTAAATGATTGGAAATGATTATTACAAGAATATATTTTTTTGTAAAAAAAATTAAAATTAATTAATTCATCAATAAATACATTATTTTTTCAACACTATTCATTTCAATCAATAATTTGTAATTTTAATCAATTGTAAAATTTTGTTGGTAATTGTAGTGAATAATTAGTTACAAATTATTTCAATATTAATCTTTTGAGACCAAATGAATAATTATCTATAAATGATAACTAATAATTTATAAAACTATTTTTCAGAATAAATTATCAATTCAATTTCTAAAAAAAAAATTCTTAATTGAGTTACCAAAATACCAATGCTAGGATTACTTAAAATCTTTATTTACTAAATGTGAATATTGACTTGATTTTGTCTCAAGTAATTTTGATGAATTGGTTTGATTGTTAAAACAATATATTTTATTTTTTGAATTAAATTTTAGAGTTAGTATTTATGAAAATTTATTAAATTTTTCTAAATGTATCTTATGTTGTAAAATTATGAATATGTTTAATTGAAATTTTCTTAAAACTTGTTGATATAACAATCATATATGTTTTTTTTATTTTAATTTTCTATATCAAACAAACGCAGAAATATATTTTTCGAGTAGTTTTTTCATGTAATTGCCAAACAACAAAAAATATGTTTTTAAAAAAAAAATTTCCTAGAAAATAGCTTAGGAATTGATTTTCCTATGGAACTTGTTTTCCTCCAAACAAACACAACCTCGAAAGTTAAAATGCCAATATGCGAATTTTGCCCACATTCACACACTTGTACTCGTTTGTCTCGAATCTTCTCTTAAATCATAAAATAAATTTAATTCAGCATATATAACTTAAAATCACATCCAAAAAACTAAATATAAGAGAATAAAGATAACCAATAACGCTCACTATCACTAAGCCTTTAAAACAAATAAAAGAGCAAGATTTAATTCATAATTTTTTTATTTAAGAAAATAAATGTTCAAGCTTACTCATTTTTCTCCTTTTTAGGTACTTTCCTTTTTAAGTAAAATTAAGTAAACGAACAAGGAGAAACAAAGCCTAAATATAAATTTCTATTCTTGTTTTTTTGGGTAAAAACTTCCTATTCTTATTTCAACTCATCCGTTTTATGTGTATTTTTTATTTCTAATTGTTGATAAGGCAAAGCATAAGATGACTCATTATTAAAATAAAAAATTTAATAATTATTATAACCAGATTTATATCAAGCATTGACTTAATAAATTAAATAGAAAAATGGATAAAATCCATCAAGTTTTTTAATGGGTTCTACTTAACCTACTTTTCTATTGGCTTCACTCAAAGCGTATTGCGTATTTTCTATTTAGAACGAGTCATTCCTAGCCCACTAGCCCAACAGATTCATTTGGACCAAAAAATCAACCCGAGATGAGATCACTAGAATGCTTTCAAAGAATTAGTGAGAGATAGGCAAAAGAAAGACTCTCAATAAGGCAAATATGTAGAGGAAAACATGAAAAAAAAATCATATTTCAAGGACGATAGTAATCAACAAGAAGTTAATATAAATATAGGTAAAGAATAATATAATTATAAAAATAATTTAAATATGATTTAGATAGTTAAAAAGAACATGGAAGATTGCAACACAAGAATAGCAAAATATTACAAGAAATATGGTGTATTGCAATGCAAAAAGAAGAACATAGACCAATATAGAATATGTGAAAGAAGTGGTCTACTATAAGAGATTATAAAGGAGCTACTAGGCTATAAATACCGATTACAATATAAGAAGAAAACACACAATAATACAACATGCGATCAAAACCCTTACAAATTACAAACGAGTTCAAGAAGAACTTTCATAAGTTTGAATACCCGAAACTTGTTAAGCGGTAGCGGGTACGCAAGAATCTATAGACAATAGCTTATAAGTAGTAATTTGTAGATAGTAATGTGCTGATTGTAATCAAATAGGTAGTAATTTGTAGACTAGGAACCGGTTCCTTGTTCTCTAGTCGAGCTTGCAACGATCACATCCCTACTTCATTTGAGATTTATCGGGACTAGAGTATCAATTTGTAAATATATTTTATTTTTTAAAGATAAATTTGTTATTTTTAAGCTAAAAGCACTATGAAGATTGCAACATTGTGGTCTTTTAAGCATCGATTAAACCTTCAAGTTCTTAATTATTAGGTTTCTATTCATCC